AAACGCACCTGAGCCAGCTCCATTAGAGCATAACCTTTCTTTTTTGTAGGAGCAAAATTAACAAGCCTTTGAGCATTATTAACCGGCGATTCCCAAGAAAAATCTATTCGAGCAAGTAAAAGTTGATACTCCAAATCTGCGTCGTGAGTTCTTCTGAAAGGAAAATATGCAAAATATGAAAAAAACAGTAAACACTATAACTTACTTCGCGTACGAATATGCAGAATTCCAATATTTTTCGGCTTCACTTTTACGTTGCAGATTCGCACAAAGGCCTGAACACAGCCGTTCCTGAAACACAAAGTAAAATTCCGAAGTAAACAGCGAACTTCTACTGACTTTTACGCAATTCAAACTAACTGAGTTTAGCTACTTTCTACCCCATACAGTGGCAACAATTCTAACATTCTGCTCTATGGAACCGATATTTCAACAGGTCATCTAAGCAAACATGCGTGCAAACATGCGACCGTGCAGACCTTTCTGCAGCTGTGGAACCCCGCTGCTACCCAGATCGTCTGCTCGCTAGCCATATCCACTCTACTGAGCTCAAGCATTGAAGAGAGGAAGGGATGCGTTCCCCCACCTGTTCTCTCCCCTCCCCTCCTCCTCCCTCCTCTACGTACGTTTCCGCCTCAGAAAGGTCAGAGATTAATTCAAAAACCCTGGATTTTCAGGGGAAAGAGATATGCATCAAAATTGCACACGAACACGTACCAGACCTGCTTTTTCTCCTGGCAGAATCGCACCGCGCTCTGACGGTCTTTATTTTTTTTTATCAGTGTCGACTTCTGTCCGCGAATTTGCTTGATGTACGTCTATCGACTCTCAAACACCATGATCAGTGCCTGGAAAAAACTATGGTGAATTTTGGAAAACAACTTCTATTACCTCCTCGAGATCAGCTGTATTGTGTGACTGCTGCATGTTCAATTTCTCGTATACCCATCCAGTAACATGCAATGAAAGTTGGATCTGTGAATGGCTGCCGCTCTGCTGCGCTGTCTGTCGGAAAAGCGATGCATACTCCAACGCTTCTTTCCTATCACCTTGAAACGAATTATTCAAAGTAATTGTTCGGCTATTGGTAACACCATCAGATAAGAGCACCCTCCACTTCAATGGTAATCCTACTATATATTCCATTCAATTATATTCGAGAGAATCGTAATTCGCCGCGCCAGTGGGCGTCGCGTGCGACGTCGCGCCACTAATGACGACGATTTTAGGTGGTATTGGTCGAGAATAGACAATGTATGACCAAAAATAGACATAAGTGTCTACCATGTCCTTGTCTACATGAAATCCGATGCCAATCGAAAGGGTAGTGCAAATTAAGGAGACGTCGCACCCATTGCCGCGCGCGACGAAGCGGCAATTTACGATTCTCTTGCCCGTCTCCCGGTGTGTGCATGTCTTTGACCGAAAATTCGCACCTTTGAGCTTGGCCATAGACAATTCAAATTGATAAATGATATAATGCTGCGACAGGAACATTACTGGTGGCCGACAGGAAGATAACAATTGATAATAGCTGATAAGGCGCATCAGAAAGGTAGCGTCACTGAGCTCTCTACGTGCTTCACAGGAACAGCGAGAATATTCCCAGGAGTTGCATAGGAGGAGCGACGGGAACATTATTGGTGGGGGACAGGAAGTGATAACAGTTGGTCAGGTTTGATAAGGTCGTTAGAAAGGGAAGATCACCACACAGAATTCCGGCGCCAAGCATAGAATTCCGGCGCGCGTTTTGTCGACAGAAAGGGGAGGGGGGGGACAATTTTGCAGTTTAAGGAGTTTCCCATCGACAGTTGTCGACCCAATCGTAAGACAGTCCCTCTTCTGGCGAGTTAACACATGGTTTTACCATGACGGCTTGACGAGCTTGCTCTAGCTTCCACAAAGGGTTCACAGTTCGCACCGAGACGTGGACTTGTAATCGACCGGAAACTAGTGAAGCAACGAAAGTGCAAAATGCCCCCCGTCGACATATTGCCACAGATTTCCTCATCTCAAACGTGTTACGCGACACTTCACCTCAGTGAAGTGTCTTGAATCGCTTCATCTAGATTGACAGCTATTCAAAAAACACGGCCCAACGACACAATCTATAAGTTCTATGGCACTTTGAAGGGGGAAGACAATGGAAATGCAAAGAATAACTCTGACAAGTTACGCGTGGAGAAAGTAAGGTAGAGCGCGGGAACCGCGCAAGGTTGTAGCAAAAGGTGACTCCCGCACAAAAAGTCAGGGACCGCCGCCGCACTGGTTGATAGTAATATCGATTCAACAACTTTTCGCGTAGAGTTCAGCCTTAAAGCAGCGTCGCGAATCAAACCAAAGTGAAAAAACCCTCCATTGAAAACGAAAATGCAGGAGTTTGGCAAATCACAAGCAGAAATCCACTCTTTGCGGCTCGAAGAATCAATTCTTGATTGACGAGGGTGGAGTGTCAACGAGAGCCGGGCTGACGGCCATCCTGTCCTGTTTATATCCCGCCCACGCGACTGGTTGACAGTTTATCAATGCTTGCTGGCACTGATATACGCTGAATTTCTAGAGTTCCGAGGCGGCGACGTGTATTGGAGAACTCACCAGAAGTTTGCGAAACTCGTCCACATGCCTTAAATTTCATAGGGTCTTATTTCACGCTCTTCCACACCTTTTTCCTGCTTTTTTTTGATTAGTCTTCATTGGCCACCTGTTCTAGCAAAATGTGACGCCGTTGAAAAGCTGCCGAAAGTGCGGGCGCTGTCTATTAAAGCCCTATTCATGACTAATGATATTCATTTAGCGCTAACATATCGTTCAAAATATTGTGTTCTTGAAACAAGACCGTGTCAAGAAGTAATGAAGCAAACCTTCTTCCGCACAAATTTCAGACAATGCTCGATAGGCGAAGGAAAGGTCCAGGTAGTTTCGGAGACCGGTGGCCAGTTGAACAGCTGAAAGACAACCAATCGAGGTTACTGCATTACAACGACTTAAAATGGTAGTACTTTTTTGTAGGAAATGTTCGAGGGGCGGTCTTCTAAAAATCGCCATCAAGTCTGTATAGGTCTCCCTAATTCATTAACCAGATCCAACTGCTTCGTTTCATCCGTAGTTCTCGCAATCTCCTTTCTTAGCTCTAGAACATGTCATCTCATTAACAGCTAATAAAAAATGAACGCAATATTGTTGTCTAACTATTCCTACCTTCTTCTCTTCTCCTCTTCTTCATACTCTGCAAATAGACAACTGAAAACCCTTCGGCAGAAATGAGATTGAATTATTTCAACATTACCGCCAAAAACATAAAGTGACTGGGAAAACTCGTCCTCAAATTGTCTTGGACTGGAGCGCGCTTGCTTTTGGCATGTCCTCACACCTGCGGCCTTGGCTTGCGGACCCTAGACCCACAATCTTTACTGCTCTGACTGTACCAGTGTTTCCTGTAATTTGTTAGAGAACTAGTGAAAAAGGTCAATCAACCTTTTCCTATCGAATTTCTCGAGTCAATATCTCGTTCTTTGTGGGTCTACGGAAATCGAGTTTGACGTGAAGGGTGGGGAACACCACTCGCCACTAGAAATTTTCCCCAAAGAGAAGCAGGCTTTTTTTGCGGTTTTTCCCGTTTTACATGTGCTATTTACCCCCCCCCCCCTCCGCTCAACAGAAATTTTTGGGGACAAAGAAGCAAATTTTCGGGAAATTGGGGAAAGTGGTAGGTAGGTGTCGAAGAAGGGGGGGGGTTCTTGCTGAGAAGGGGTACGGAGACCCTCCCTCGAGATGGGGGGGGTCTTACTGACACCACCATTTCACATACCACGATGCTGCACCCTGAGGCAAGTAGACCCCCCGAGCTTTAGCTGACTGCTAGGAACCTTATTGTGATGGGCAAACTTTTACAGTTATCTTATTTCTAATGGTATTTGGATAGGGCGCTGTTCTGCTTTGGTGGGGCATTACGGTGCAGTAGTTCGTTGGCTTACGGTAATCCCAACTTTGCACAAGGAACCCTTAGTATCTACAAAGACGGGTTTCCACTATTCGGGACTGGGTGAATATTGCTCTACTTACGTTTGCAATTTGTCGAAATTTGCATAGAAATTTTTCTGCACCAGAATGCCCCGTCATATTGGAATAACGCTTTATTCGCTTTAGATACATAACGAGCCACTTTACTTATGCAGTAGCACTTCACGAGATTTTTTGGGCACCAACGTGTTGGGGGGGGCATCGACGCAAGCTATCACAAAACCCAACAATGTCGAGCAGAAGACGGGAGAACTTGAAGTCATTAACTTTTATACTCACAGAACAGCTTTCCTTTGAGCTGGTCGTCGAAACAATGAGACCCGTTTTTGATGCAAATTTCG